AATTGTATATTACCTATTAAACAATAGAAAGTCAAGGTTTTCATCTATCAAATGATGTATTGTATAACGTTGTGTTCTGAACAGATAATCATCAATTTCACTCAGAGTAGCAACATTGTTCCCATGGGAAAGTTAACGACTAGCTTGAATGAATTTGTAACAACTCTTGTTGCACAGTTAGAAAGCCAGGAAAATTTTAAGAGGTAAGTGAATTTGTCTACTTTTTGCATGTTATTAGTCTATATTATTTGGTGCATTAATTAATTAAATAAAAATTGTTAAGTGCTTTACTATAATTACTATAAAAAATCAGGCTTAACTCTCCTCGACAATTGAGGGCAAGAAAAAGAAGATTGAGTAAGTACTTTAATTTTTGTTTTTCATATTTGTTCTTTATTTATTATTATAAAAGTAACTAAAAATCTAAATCTTTTTAAGTTACTTAAGACTAGATATGGTAAGTAATAATAATAATATAATTAAAATGGTTCACAAGGCACACACACAAGCAGCTCCTGGGTAATATAATTTGATTGCATAACGTGAACTGCCAGTTCCCTGAGTGACTTACAACTGATAATGGCACAGATAGTAGTTAGACACGGTTCAAAGGGCAATAAAACAATAAAATTTAATTATAAATAGATGTATACTGTTACGAACTTAGAGCTACTTAGGATAAATGAGTGTAGTTTAATGTTACAATTTGAAGTCATTCTAGAATGAAAAAATGGGTAATTTAAGTTTATTTTGATTTTTTGGGTGGTTACGTGGTCGGTCAAATTGACCGATTCCATTTTGAGATAGGGTAGAGAAAGTAACAGATAAACTATAAAGTTTTACTGAAAAAAATGCATTTAGGAAGTTTTAGGGATTATACTAAGGAAATTTGAAATTTTTGAGATGAGGAAAAGTATTTTTAATTTTAACATGAAAATTACTTTGCACACAGACTATTCAAAACAAATACTCAATGTATTAATGGACAAATCTTTATTTTATTAAAAATACTTCCCTAAAAAAATATGATTTTTTTGTAAGTGAAACACATAATATGAACTGAAAGACTGCCAAATTTTGTGAAGATATTCACACTACATTAAAAGATTGAACTATTAAATCTATAAAGACTTTAATCAAATAGAAAGAGGTCACGTGGTTGGTCAAATTGACCGAGCCCATGTTAAGAGAGTTAAGTAGTAATCAGAAGACAGAAAATGTCCATTACACCCAACAGTTTTTTTTATAACTAATGGCTAAAAAATTGTTATATGCATTTCTTATATATACTAACCTCTTCAGCTAGTTTAGCTTTCTTCAGTTTTCTTTCCAATTCTTTATTTCTCACCACTAGTTCCTCTTCAGCTTTGATAAGAACTTCGATCTTGTCATCTAGCCGTCTGAGCTCCTCCCAATCCAGAGAATTAGGAGAAAGTTCCCTTATGTCATCTGCAACAGTGAGATGATGGTTGTCCTTGGATTCACTCTGCACAGAGTTCACACCGAAGACAGGCAAATGGAGGATTTCCAACTGGTGAGTCTTGTTCTCCACTTTTTCTTCTAAACTTTGAATCTGTAAACCAAATTTTACATAACAGAACAATGGATGAGAGAAGTATATTATATCTCAACAGCAAGACAGATGAGCACGCAATACATTATTGAATCTAAACACAGAAAGTGTTGGGACTCTTCATGTAACTGTTGTACACAGACAACAAAACCAATACCAAAACCTACTAGTCCCAAGATGTTAAACTTTTATTTGAAAATTCAACATATGTACCTTCTTTTTCATGTTCAGCTGTAACAAAACCTTTACTTCTTAAATAAATCTACATTCCAATAGTAAACATGATCTATATGAAAGAAACTTTAACAGTCTTTAACTTTAAGAATGGATGCATCATTTTTAAGTCATGTATTGTTACTTATCAATTTTAAGTGTGTTTGTTTTTTAGAGCAGAGCTACATTGGCCCCTCTGCTGTATCCATCGTGGGGAATCGAACTTTGGATGTTAGTGTTGTAAGTCCATCAACTTACCACCATGAGACATCACTTTAACTACTGATCTTCAGCACACAATTTTGTTTTACGAGTTTGATTTTTACATTTTACATCATACATCTGAAAGAACAGCCAATAAAATTGTTTTAAACCATAATATATATATATATCCCTTCTTTAAACTTTTGAAAGAGTGGCTAGATATTTAAAACCCTAATTTTGATAACCTGCTTATTTTCTTCTTAAAAAAACACAAAAGAATATTACAGTCATCCAAGTTGACTTTCTCCTCTAATGAGAACAATGAAAAAGAAGAACTATGCCAATAGAAATTAACACAAACATTAGCTTCAGATGATATCATACCCTAGACAGCAATATTCATGTTAAAAGCTGCATACTGCAATGGCAAGTTTATCATAAAAGAGTTAAGATTGCTAAAACAATATAATAACTATTAAAGCTAACACCTGCCAGTAATCTCACTATAAATGAAATAACAATTAAAAGCATATTTGTATTTCTTATTTTATATATTTTAACAAACAAAACTATAAAAGGCCTAACCTTATAAAATTAAAATAGAATTTTCCTTCCTTGTTTTGTTTGTTAGTGTACCATATGTTTTTAAATTATAATACCTGTGCTTTAAACTCCTGCAGAATGGATTGACAATACATCATTCTCTCCACCTGTTGGCCACGAGTCTCAAGCTGTTCTTCTAGTAATCTGACATGACTATTTAATTCGCTTCTAGAAGAGCTGTTCCTAAGCTGCTCTACCTCCGAACTCAGCTCTGCATGAGCTTTCTCTTGATCAGACATGGTTTCTTTCAGGTTCATTATTTGCTAGCAGAATGATTATACAATTAAAAACAATACCGTCCTGCGTTTAAGCACTTGAAAATGCGCAAGTTTTTAAGCAAGTAATAAACAATTTATTTTTTAAGTAACCCAGTTATAATCAGAAATGAAAGACACATGCTTTAAGTAACCCAGTTATAATCAGAAATGAAAGACACTATGCTTTAAGTTACCCAGTTATAATCAGAAATGAAAGACACTATGCTTTAAGTAACCTAGTTATAATCAGAAATGAAAGACACTATGCTTTAAGTAACCCAGTTATAATCAGAAATGAAAGACACCATGCTTTAAGTAACCCATGCTTTAAGTAACCCAGTTATAATCAGAAATGAAAGACACTATGCTTTAAGTAACCTAGTTATAATCAGAAATGAAAGACACTATGCTTTAAGTAAACTAGTTATAATCAGAAATGAAAGACACTATGCTTTAAGTAACCCAGTTATAATCAGAAATGAAAGACACTATGCCTATCTTTTTTTTAATTTAACAAAACAACTTAATACCTGATTAAGATCTTTCTCTGTGCGAGACTTAATGTCCAGCTCCAACTCCAACTCTCTAATGACATCTCTCAAGTCATGAATCTTGTCCGAAGTGTGATGAAGTTCAGTTTCTATTTGTTCACGTTTCCTAAGGACTTCTTTATGATCTTCAATTCTTGCCCGAAGCTGTTGTTCCAGAGCTTCCACCTTTCATCAGATAACCACGATATGAAACATGTTACACACTATGTTGTATTTTTGCAAAAGGTTCATAATGCAATCATTTCAAACTTTGAAAAATGTTAAATAATTACTGATTTTTTATAGATAAATGAAAATAATACACCTATTTATGGTATTAATATTTCATCAAGTAAACAATATGCATGCAACTCAAACCCTAATATCTCTTCTGATAAATTCAAATGGTACATATTCTAAAACTTTGAAGTAAAACTCTTGCTCTTCAACTAAAAAAAAAATGTTTTATGTCAGGTATGAATTAATACATCAGATTTATTCCACATAAGTATAAATACTGTAATAAAACTATATGAAATGAAATAATTACATAACTTGAACTCTTACAACATACCTATATATGTGTAGCACAGTCGAGCCTTTCAATTCATTGAATGAAATATTAAATCATGAATAGAAGTTTTTTTTCTCTCAAAACGAACCTGTTAAACTAAACATGAAAACAAACAAGCAGAAATGAGATAGAACCAAGTTTATGATCTAACATAAAACCTCCTATTCTTTATCTTATGATAGCATCACTACATGACTGGTTATCCTCTCTCAGTGTTTGTTGGCTATAACATACAGACATCATCCACTCAGCCAACAGAGGACATCACAGTCATTGACCCTTTCAGTGAATGTGTAATAGTGATGTAATATCCCCTCAGGCAGAGTAAATATTATCTGCTACAGAGAACAAAACATCTTCAACAGTTATCAGGACCATGAATTTTGCCTAAACTGCATAGAAACTAACCAAATAAAAGTTTGAAAAATTCTTCTATTATTTACAAAAAATCTGCTAATTACAAGTTCCCATCTACATGTTGATGCTGTACCTCCTTTGTCAATCTATCTTCACTATTCTGTATCCTTTCCTTCTCCTTAACAAGTTCCTGAAGTTTTGAAACTTCTTTCAAGTATTCATCTCGTTCTTGCTCTCTCTCCAAAGCTTGCTCCTACAACATAAATATTTCATTAGATAAAAAGGTGTGTATTTCTGTAAATATCATCATGCACAGAAATGACATTAAACTTTCAACAGCTTGCTTTCGAAGTTCACAATTTTAAGATGATTTTTAAAAGAATATAACTTGCCAAGAATAATTAGTGTGTTTATTGAAAATACCATAAACCAAAGTTTTCCACCTCTATAAACTTCTTGTGGTATTGCAATTGTTTTTCCATTGCCTCCATCTGAGATTTAAGATCATCAATTTCTCTCCTTTTTTGCTCCAACATTTCATCCTGTTCTGAACGGAACTCTTCTAGGGTCAGCTCAAGCTGGTGTATTCGAGCTAGCAGGCGCTGTCGCTCACGATCATGTTGTTTCTGAAGGTTCCTCTTCTCTGCTGCTAACTTACTGTTCTCTTGGAGAAGTTCTAGAAAATATTATGATTCTAAGATTTTTGAGCAAGTCTTAAAAGCCGAAGAAATGTCTGTAACACAAAATTGTGCATTAAACATATTTCTAGGAAGTTGTATAAACAATATAAAAGAATATGATGTAAGAATATGATGTATTTTATTTTACTTTTATTTCATACAACAAAAGAAAGCAATTCCATGTTAATCAGGCAGGCATTGTTTATGACACGCTGATGAAGAAAAAATAAATAAATAAAACTAATATATTTTTTTAATTTTGTTTTGTTTAGGAAACAAAAAGTGTGCTGTTAAATAAATCATGGTTCAATTAGAACAGCTCCTATGTATTAAATTCTACAGTTTATTATCTGTACTCAGCCTGAATTCAGGAATTAACCTATCAGAATAATTCATAATGATGAATCATACTTTTCATTCCACATATAGCTCTTACAGTAACAATAAATGCATCATTAACTGTTCCTCCAACACTTCATAATACATCTGTGATAATGCAAAATCCATTAGCTCCTGGTCTAATTTCAAAGTGAGTGACCACTTCAGGCCTCAAAACTTCCAGCATATAGTAAGGTTATTTAACTGAATGTGTATGGGGTTGGTCCAAAAGACTGACTTCATATTGGAGAAGGAATGTTAACTATAATTCTGTATATAAACAAAATGTGGTAAGCTTTTAGTCAAATGATAGTTATACCCCATTAATCAGGTGTGTCACAAATGTATTTGTACTCAAGATATGTGTATGAACTGCTGACTTCAGTCTGATACAGACTCTGAAAAATAAAAATACAAGATGTTCATATGAAAGATAAAAATACTTTTGTGTATTGTAAAGTTTGTTCGTGAAGAAAGATAAAAATACTTTTGTGTATTGTAAGGTGTGTTCACATGAAAGATAAAAATACTTTTGTGTATTGTAAGGTGTGTTCACATGAAAGAGAAAAAATACTTTTGTATATTGTAAAGTGTGTTCACATGAAAGATAAAAATACTTTTGTGTATTGTAAAGTGTGTTCACATGAAAGATAAAAATACTTTTGTATATTGTAAAGTGTGTTCACATGAAAGAGAAAAATACTTTTGTATATTGTAAAGTGTGTTCACATGAAAGATAAAAATACTTTTGTGTATTGTAAAGTTTGTGTTTATATGAAACATAACAATACTTTTGTGTATTGTAAAGTTTGTGTTTATATGAAAGATAAAAATACTTCTGTGTATTGTAAAGTGTGTTTATATGAAAGATAAAAATACTTTTGTGTATTGCAAAGTTAGTGTTTATATGAAAGATAAAAATACTTGTGTATTGCAAAGTGTGTTCTTATGAAAGCTAAAAATACATTTGTGCATTGTAAAGTTTGTGTTCATATGAAAAATCAAAATACTTTTGTGTATTGTAAAGTTTGGACATGGAAATTGCATAACCTCTAGAACTAAGGTTTATTTTCCAGTATCCTTGTACATTGCATCTGGTATTTAATCTCCTCTAACACAAAGTTTCTCTAAATCAGTAATGTAGAGTAAAATTAATAGTTCATAACTTTGACATCAAATACATTATACCATGTTGAATGGGATGCACACTCTGACCCCCACCAGTACACATAAATTTAAGGTATCAACATGCACACTCTGACCCCCACCAGTACACATAGATTTAAGGTATCAATATGCACACTCTGACCCCCACCAGTACACATAGATTTAAGGTATCAACATGCACACTCTGACCCCCATCAGTACACATAGATTTAAGGTATCAACATGCACACTCTGACCCCCCACAGGTTCACATATAGTTAAGATAACTGCTGTCAAAGTTAAGACTAATAACTGTACTTCAATGGCTTGTCATGTCAGCTTTGTCTCTTTTGTTGTTGTTGTTTTAATATGTAAGTTCATAGGAAAAATGCTCTTTCAGTTAAATTTTATCAGATTTTTTGTTCTATAATAGTTCATCATAGGAAAACTGAAGTTTAGCCAGGTTAAAGCCAATTTTTAAACATTTTTGTATCAGAAATAGAAATTTGTATTAAAAAACCTGAGTAGTTTATGTTTACAATGTTTTAGAAGGCTACTGCTCTTAGACATGTACCAATTTTTTTATCATAACTTTACTCAGACATTATCCTTTCAAATATACATATGTGAAATTCAAGCTCAAAATATCTTCGTTAAATGTTTTGGAAAAATTTCAAAGCATTTATGCCTATAACTATATAGAAACTTGATGACAAATGTCCGTTTCTATGCTTCTTACATTGAACTTTAGCAACAAATGTACGTTTCTTTGGTCCTTACACTGAACTTTATCAACAAACTTCTTACATTAAACGTTACCAATACACATAGTTCCCTAGGGCCAAAAATTCTTAATTCAAAACCTAGCCAATATTCCCATGTACTGGTCTTATCAGAACAATATGTTTTAAAACTAGAAATATCACACATATACATTTTAACTCAGCAAACCATCAATTATAATGAGCGAACTAGCATTGCCAGACACATTATGAGGTGAAAAATTGAAGAAAATGAGTGTGAAACCAAATCAGAAATCAGACCCAAAAGAACTCTTGAAGAACTACACTGTATGACTTAACACACATACAAGAATAAAGAAAATTAAAATCCTTAATTAACAAGTGCTAAAAGAAGAAGAGTATATAATAAAAACTTTATGAGTGAAAAATAAATATTGCAATAAAAAAGAACTAATTACTTTCAAATTAAAAGAATTAATTCTAACAAATCATACGATTTCAAGCAATAACAATAATGTCCATAGAACTCAAACTCTATGCACTCTTATAAACACAATGACAGAACCAGACAAAAAAAGAAAAGTTTGAAAAAAAAAAAACATGCACAGAGTCTTTCAAACAACATGCTAACAAAAAGTGCAGAAAATAAAACGCACCTTCTGGATCAGAAGGCAGTGTTTCAGCATCAAGTGAGACTTCAAAATCTTCAACAGAAGCTTGACAGGCTGTGTGCAAGGACATCAAAAGGAAAGGAAAGGAAGAGAATTTATCTACTGGAGACTTCAAAATTTTAAGATATCAGCTTCACCTTACACTACATTAGAAAGGCTTCACCAAGTATACTTTATGTCCTTTGCTTGAAACAAATATAAAAGTTTTGTACTTACATGTGAGCAAAATTTATACACTTATACTAAAACGTGCTTATACGGCACTTAAAACAATAATGTTTGTGTTTATTTTATGATTGAAACTCACTGACCACCATTCGAATATCATACCACTTTCATGAAATTTACAGAAAAAAAAATTGACCTGTTTCAATGTGCCTTTAAAATACATATTTTAAAACGAAATAAAGAGTATTTCATAATAATTCTATATGTAAAGGATATATTACAGCTGAATATTGATTTTATTTTCCTGAACATCGTAAAAATAACAAGTACAGGACAATATGAAAATCAAGAATTACCACAAAAAAATTAAATGTGAAAAAGTGAATGTAAAGATAAAATCATTGTTCATAATTCTCCTTAAAGACCTCTTCAGAAATAGGGTCTTACTTTGTTCAGGGTCACCAAGACCAGAAGCTAACAGGTGACGTTGTTCACCCAAATGCTTGCGATCTTCAGACAGCGTTTCTTGAGCATGTTCTAACTCCTGAACTCGTGCCTTTAAGTTCCCTATCTCTTTGGTCTGTTTGATTTTGGTATCAGTGAGATTGTGAACAGAATCTTCTAGTCTGACTTTCTCCATTTCTGTGTTTCTCAGGGCACCTATAAACAATAAAATATGACTTAGAAAAGTTTTTCTACCACTACCTTTTACATTAAACTATAAAACTTGTTTAGGAAATAAGTGGTTACTTTACAAGCCTCTGAAAATGTACAAATAAAACAGAGAAGATTTAAAACATGCATGTCATGATTTATTGTACTCACTATTCAGTGATTTCTGTCCTAATACAGCATAATAATATCCTTGAATTACAATGTTCTAATATGTGTCTAACATCATTTGTTTCTGAAGGATAACCGATTGAAGGTAACAAAAAGGCTGTTATGTATCTTTCCCAATTAAATTTTTCAGGTGGTCCCAAAGATAACACTCTTGGTTCTAGGAGGCCCATTTTAACACACTATTTTTTGTACTTTAAACTTTGTAACAAGAAGTGTTAACCTGTTGATAAGCAATACTTATCTGCTAAAGCAGCATTATCTAACATCTCTAGATGTCTGTGTGCACACTTTACATTTAAATGTGGACACTTCACAGATAGGTTACATCCAAACCACTTATCTGACATATCTAGATGTCTGTGTGCACACTTTACATTTAAATGTGGATACTTCACAGATAGGTTACATCCAAACTATTTATCTAACATCTATAGATGTCGGTGTGCACACTTTACATTTAAATGTGGACACTTCGCAGATAGGTTACATCCAAACTACTTATCTGACATATCTAGATGTCTGTGTGCACACTTTACATTTAAATGTGGACACTTCACAGATAGGTTACATCCAAACTACTTATCTAACATCTCTAGATGTCTGTGTGCACACTTTACATTTAAATGTGGACACTTCACAGATAGGTTATATCTAAACTACTTATCTAACATCTCTAGATGTCTGTGTGCACACTTTACATTTAAATGTGGACACTTCACAGATAGGTTATATCTAAACTACTTATCTA